GCCAGGGGCAGCTTTGATGTTGACGGCCTCAGTAGTAAAGTTCTTGTTCTAAGAGTTCCAGGCAAGTTCGCTAGAATTGGCCCAGTTGGGTCCAGTGCTCCTCCATTAACGATCAAATGGCCAGGAACAGGGCATGGTGCACTAACATGGCAGCTTCAGAGGAGCCGTTCTCAGTGGAAATGAGGGGGTGCAGAGCCAACAAACCCATGGATACTGTAGGGAAAAGGGGCTGGCTAGAGAAACCCACCCTGACCCTGGAGCCCAGAATTAGGGAAGGATGACTCAGATAAGGTCAGTGAGAGAAACACAGTTTAGCTCAGATCAGAGCCATCTCTGCCCCTGTCCAACTGACTTGTGAAATCAACCAATCACAGAGCAGGACAGCAGAACCCTGACCCTAGGGCCCAGGACTGGGAAAGAAACATAGCCTGTGTTTGGAACCTGGGCCAGAGAAATGAACCAAGGAAACATTCCCTGACTCTGAAACCAGTACTAAAGAAACACTCTTGGCCCCTAGAATCAGAGTCAGTGAATGAAATGTTGCCCTGGCCTTAGAGGCAGTGACAGAAAGCTAAGTAAGGCCAGTGAGAAAAACACAGTTTAGCACAGACCAGAGCCATCTCTGCCCCTGTCCAACTGACTTGTGAAATCAATCAATCACAGAGCAGGACAGTAGAATCCTGGCCCTAGGGCCCAGGACCAGGGAAAGAAACACAGCCTGTGTTTGGGACCTGAACCAGAGAAATGAACAGTTTATCCCCAAACCCAGAACCCAGGAAATATGCCCTGACTCTGAAACTAGTACCAAAATAACACTCTTGGCCCCTAGAATCAGAGTCAGTGAAAGAAATGTGCCCTGGCCTTAGAGGTAGTGTCAAAAAGCCAAGAAAGGCCAGTGAAAGAAACTCAGTTTGGCCCTGAAATCAGGGCCACCTCTGCCCCTTGCTCACAAAACTGGCCAATCCCTGGGCAGAAAATAAACTAACCAATCACAGTTGACTCTGCCCCCTAGACATCCTATATAAACCACCCTGCCCAGTCAGTTGTGAGCTGTTCTCTCCACCCTGGTAGAGGCAGCTACTCTCCTGGACTCTTCCTTCCCAAATAAACCTCTTTCTCAAAAGAGTATTGGGTGAAGACCTTCATTGACTGGTGAACGGAAGAACCTTGCTGGGATGTCCCATAGTGGACTGAGCAAGGGGGAGCTGAACAGAAGAACCTTGCTGGGACATCCCATAGTGGACTGAGCAAGAAAGACCTGGTAACACTGAGCCAGAGATTGTGGCTTTCCAGGAGAGGAGCAGGATTGTTGTGTCCTGCGAGGAAACCATCCCCCATCATACCATCATACCAGGTATATCCTGACCTTCCCAAAGAGTCAGGATACCCTTCCTTGCTGAAGCAGTTCCAGGCCTGACTCTCCCGAGAAGTCAGAAAACCTTCCTTTCCAAGGTTGGGCTGTTTCTTTGCAGTCTCAGCCATCAGAGCTGTGCTAAACAGCTCCAGGTGTCCGGGACATCTTCAGGGCAGAGCTCTTGTCCTAAGTAGCTCTGAGGTGTCTGGGATACCTCGCCCTCTAGGGCTGAACTGTCTCCAGTTCAGCCATCACAGCTGTGCTAAACAGCTTCAGGTGTCCGGGACACCTTCAGGGCAGAGCTTTTGTTCTGAGTAGCTTGAGGTGTCCAGGACACCTTCAGGGCAGAGCTCTTGAACTAAGTAGCTCGAGATGTCTGGGATACCTCGCCCTCTAGGGTTGAACTGTCTCCAGTTCAGCCATCACTGCTGTGCTAAACAGCTCCAGGTGTCCAGGACACCTTCAGGGCAGAGCTCTTGTTCTGAGTAGCTTGAGGTGTCCAGGATACCTCGCCCTCTAGGGCTGAACTGTCTCCTTGCAGTTTCAGCCATCAATTTACTAACATTTTGGTGCTGAAACCCAGGACACCACACCCAGAGTTTTTGCAGTTTACTTACATTTGGTGCCAAAACCCAGGATACCAAACCCAGAGTTTTTGCAGTTTACTTACAGATACCACTTGAAACAGCAGGTCTTCCTGTTAGAAGCTTTAGTCACTCTCACTGACAAGTGTTCTTTCTTCAGATACATGGTCCTCATCCTTGAGGTTTTACCTAGGGTGACACTAGAATTCTAAAAGCTAAAACACTAGCTTATTGTCATAAATAGCCTCAATCATACATGAATCCTATGTATAACAGAAAAAGTCAGCAATGCAAACTTTAGCAATTGGCAAGCATTATCAATAACTATTAAAAGTTACTTCTCCACATGTCAAATATCTTTATCTTATGCAATAAGATGTCATCTGTGCACAGAAGGCAGATGTGTGCCATGTGAGTATATGTGAACTTGTTGTCTTTGCATATGAAGATAAATACTTGCCATCTGTGCACATAAGGAAAGAGGTAACAATATCTCTGTCCATTAGGACCAATACCCCACTCCTGATACCAACTTCTAAAATACCCCGACCAAAGTGACTTATGCAAGAAAGGGTTTATTTTGACTTATGGTTCCAGAGGAAGAGTTCATAATGGTGGAGGAGGTATGGCAGAAGGCTGCCAGAGCAGAAAACCAAGAGATCACATCTCCATCTGTAGGCATGAAACAGAGGGAACTGGAAGGGAGGTAAGGCTATAAACCTTTAAAGCCTTCCCCCAGTGACATACTTCCTCTAGCAAAGCCATACCTCCTAAAAGTTTCATAACCTTCCCAAACAGTGCCGTCAGCTGGAGACCAAATGTTCATATACCTAAGCCTATGAGGGACATTTCTCATGCAAACAACCACAATCTATTCCATGGCCCCCATAGGTCCATGGTCATATCATAACAGTCATATCATAATGAAAAATGCATTTAGTTCAAATTTTAAAATCCCTAACACGTATTTCCTTGAGAGGCTTTTGTTTTCATGTCTCTACCTCACAGAATAAGCACAATGCTTTGTCACATAACGTTCATAAGGTAAATTGCTTCAGTATCTGTAGTGTGTGATAGCATAAAAATGAAGATAAACATTTTGTTTATCTGTGGTGCATGGGACACTAGTCTCCATCATAGAAGTGGGATGGACTTTAGAGACAAAACAGGATGATGCTGGCTAGATGTAGCCTAGCTAAACGTCTCTTCCTGTCAGCTGAGTGGACAGTAACTGCATCATAGTGTCCTCCCGAGTTAAGACAACAGAGGTAAGAAGGAGCTGGTGCCTGCTCACAGAGACACAGAATGACTCTCTAAAACACGTTGCTCTTAGGAGTCAGTTCTTAGTTTCCAGTACCATTCTCCAACAAAAGGATCCACATTCCTCGGAGAAGTGCCTGACGCTAGAACTAGGTAAGAAATGCGAAGAAGAATGTGTAGCCTGTAGTGACAGACAGGAAGAGCTAAAAAAGCAAGCCGACAAGGATGTGTGTTTCAGTGTGCAGAAACAACATGCCATAAACTGCTGGCATAAATAAGAGAAATTCATTTCTCCACATCCGAAGGCTGGGGAATCCAGGCTAAAGTGCTGGCCTTCTTCGCTTGTGGGTGATTGGAGCTCTTGTTGTCCTGTTTGTTTTTATTGTGAGGTTTATTATTTGTTTAGTTGTACATGTGAACATGTGTGGATACACATGTGCCATGCCATGGTCGTGGAGGTCAGAGAACTTTCAGGTATTGGTTTCCTCCTTTCACCGCATGGGTCTTGGCATCTTAAACTCAGGTCATCAGTTTGCTTGGTGGCAGACGCTGTTACCAGCTGAGCCATCTCCTGAACCAGGTTTTCTATGTATATGAATGTTTTGCCTGCATATGTATATATGTGCACCACGTGCCTGCCTGATACCCATAGAGATCAGAAGAGGGTGTCAGATGCCCTGAAACTGGAGTTAGGGATGGTTGTGAGCCACTGTGTGAGTGCTAAGGTCCAAACCTGGGTCCTCTGCAAAAACAACTTCTCCAGCCCTTTATTTGTCTATTTGTTCTTGAGACAACACTAATAGGTTTTCTGCAGCCCGATAATAGGTTTCTCCGCTGATGCAGTAAGCCAGATCAAGCCGAACGGAAAAAGTAGAAAAGCAGGTTAGGTTCCAATAGAATAAATACCATTCCCTATAGCCCAAGCTGGCCTGAAACTGGAGATCCCCTGCGTCAGCCTCCTGAGTTCTAGAATTGGCATGATATGATGCCATACGCTGTGGTAGACATCATTTTAAGACATTTCCCCTTAGTTTGTCAGTGGCTACCAACTCCTTGTGAGCCCACATGACCTTTGTACACAGGTTGGGGAGAGGTTACAGGACAGCAGAGGGCAAGCTCTTCAGATCTCGTCTTATAAGGGCACTGACCTATCAAGAAGGCACCACCCTCATGACCTCATCAGACACTCCTTAGTTACCAGCATATTGCAGGTTAGGTCTTCAGCTTGTATGTAGATAGGGGCAAACATTCCCATAGTAGGCCAAAGGGTCACAGGACTCAGTGGAAGAGCTCTCTGTGGCCAATCCAGTACAGAAGGCAGTACTGGATTATAAACTGGATGCAAAATCAATATCCATGCATCCATAAGTATATTAGCAAGTGATTGCATAAAGAGCAATGAGGAGCTATATCTGCTATGCAGAATCCCATACAATCTATTTCCTCTGTCCTTGATAGCCAGAGTCACTCGTGTGTGCGTGTGTGTGTGTGCCTGTGTGCGTGCGTGTGTGTGTGTGTGTGTGTGTGTGTGTGTGTGCCTGTGTGTGTGTGTGCCTGTGTGCGTGCGTGCATGTGTGTGTGTGCCTGTGTGTGCGTGTGTGTGTGTGTGTGTGTGTGTGTGTGTGTGTGTGTGTGTGTGTGAGAACTCACTCTTCCCTTCCACCTGGGCCCAGGTGATGAAGTCAGATCACGAGTCTGGGCAGAGGCACCTTTACCCTGTGAGCTCTCTCCCCAGCTCTCCCCCCACATGAAAATAAATAGAGAAAGTAAGACGGAAGGCTGAGTGTGGTGTCACATACCTTTAATCTCAGTGCTTGGGAAGCAGAGGCAGGCAGAGCTGTGTAAGTTTGAGGCCAGCCTGGTCTATATCCAAATGCCAGGCTAGCCAGAGCTAGAGAGTGAGATCCTGCCTCCAAAAAGACAAAACAAAAACAGATAAACAAAGATGGAAATGAAGGAGGGCAGGAGGAGGGCAGAAAGAAAAAAAAAAAGTTGTTTTTCAAAATCAAAACCCTGCAGCTTGAAAGGACACTAGAGAATGATCACACCAGGACTTGTAAAAGGCGCAGGACGAAGGTGGCCTTACGGTGGGAAAGGCTGGCGAACACAGGAGCCAGGGAGTCAGCGTCAACGTCAGCAGTCACAAATCACGACGACAGCCTTGAACTTGATAGGATCTGATAAAAGCGGCACTCAGCTTTCTCGTCCTCCAGGTCCTGGTAACCTCACTCTTACCACAGTCCAAGCAGGTGAACTCCAGAGGGAGGCATTCTACAACCCAGCAGTCCTCCCCAGCCATAAGACCTTCCCTGGGAAAAGCCAGGAGGGTCCCATGGGATCCTCAGTCACGACCTGGAACAGAAAACAAACAGAAAGATATGATGTCAAAATCAAGGAAATCCAAATAGAGCAGGGACTTCAGTTAGTTACAACACATCAATGTGTGTCCAGTAACTGAAACAAGTGTGCTGTGCTAATGCAGAATGCCGATGGACTAAACTGGTGTAGCATGAATGCAAACTGCCCATGATCTTCTCAAGCTGAGTGCTGTCTAAGACTTGTTCATTTTTTTTTTTTGTCTGTATGAATGTTTTGTCTGCATTTATGTGGATGCACAAGGTGTGTACCTAGTGCTTAAGGAAGGCCAGAAGAGGGTGTCACATCCTCCGGAACTGGACTTACACATAGTTGTGAGTTGTTTGTGGGTACTGGGAATAGAACCCAGGTTCCTGAAAGAGCAACAAATGCTCTTAACCCCTGAACTATCTCCTCAGCCCCCTGAAGTTTCGGTGTTTAGGGTTTGTTGTTGTTGTTTGTTTTTAAAAAGTATTTGAATGCACTGCATTTTGTTTGTTTTGTTTTGTTGTTTGGATGTTTTTTGTTTCCATTTGTCTCAAACTTGAGATGCCCCTGACTATACCTCCCACTCGAGTTCTGGGATGACAGCCATGTGCACCCCCTGCACCCCAGTCCCCCCCCACACGCCAGATGTGACCATGGCTGGACTGCAATGCAGTTTTAACATGAACTGAACCACTTTAAAATCACCCGTGAGTCTCAGGACTGAAGGGAATGGCAGCTCAGTGGTTCAGAGCGCTTCCTGCTCCTCCAGACGACTAGAGCTCAGTGCTTACCTCATGTGACTCACAACAGCCTGTAACTCCAGCTCCAGGAGATCTGATGCAAAAATGAACCTGGAATTTCACCAACAAAGCTGAACCCAGCCAATGAGCCCGAGTGCATTTTCTACCATGAGCCACTAAGAGTGACCATGTTGTCAAGGAAAGCCAACATCCTCCCCAAACATGGAGTGGGAGTGGGAGAGTGAAAAGGCACAGGAGGAGGAGGGAGCAGAAAGGATGAAGGGAGCTGTGGGGTGAGCCCACGGTGGAGCTGCAGCATGTGCGGAAGCCCAGGAAGCCATCTTTGGGCCTTCTGGGGAAGCCAGCCCTCACCTGAAGCTCAGGTACCAGGTCAACCCTACAGGCCACACTCAGGAAGCTGGAGCAGAAGAACTGAAAATTGGAGGCCAGCCTGGGCTACATGGTGAGACTCTGTCTAGTGAAGAAGGGTCCTACTTACCAGAGGAAGATGGCTGTGGACTGTCTGGTTACTCCTTCCTGCTCCTCCTCATGCTTGTCCACCACCACTGTTTAAATCTGTCTCAACCGATAGATGTTTGTTGAATGTCCGTACACCGTCCCGACTGCTGAGAATCTTATACGGAACAGGCCTGGGACTGGGAAGTTGGGGGGCTGTCACTCAATGCATGTAAATTAGGCAGAGGAAGCTGCCAAGTTGAGTGGGCTTGTGGGGCGGAGTCCTGGGCCTCGAGCCAGCAAGGACTTTGTGTTCCCTTCTACGAGTTTGTCAATGTTTCCTCCCCTTTCGTGTTTTTTCTTTTCTTCTGAGTTTCTATGGTAACCATGGTTCCCATGTGACCCTGCACAGAGGGTTACATGGGCATGGGCTTGGAGGGTGGGGCCGAGAGCATTTATATGGGTAGACGTTGGTTGGGGTGGCAGGTCCCATGCTTTCTTTTCCGCAGCAAAGGTGTTTTGGGGAGAAGTCTGAACTGGGCAAGAAGCTGGAATTATGGGGTGGGGATGGTGATGAGACATGCGTCACTACAGAGTGACATTTCCCTTATCTCTATGATGGACTTCCTTGTGGCCCAGTGGAAAGAAGGATGAAAACAGAGTCACTTCAACATTTTAGAACCTGGAGTTTGTAAAACAACAACAACAAAAAACCAGGAAGCCACGCCCTTAGCATCAGCTTTGTGAGTTGGGAGTTGAAGGGAGCCATCCTCAAGAAACTTGGAGAACCCTAGGAGCTAATGGTACTTAGTGACTAACCAGAAGTAGACTAAGATAAAGCACCATCCAAGGATACACTCAGAAATATTTGGTGATGGGTGCTGGAGCATTGTCCTGTGACTGGTAGACCCAGCTGTCCCTGTACAGAAGAGGTCAAGGCCAACGGTAGTGGTTTGGATATGGAAGGTCTCCTACAGGCTTACAGGGTCCCTTAGCCCCAGGCCGATGGTGCTGGTTTGGGAGGTAGTAGAGACTTAGGAAGTGGGACCTGGAGGAAGTAAGTTACAAGACTCTGTGTCTTCAGCTCCGCCCTACCCTATTAAGCCCCACTCCTGCCAAACACACACCTCTTCTGGGACCTCCCTCCCTCCCCCATCAGCTAGGCTCTGCTCCTCACTTCTCCACAGGCAGGCAGTCCATCTCCTGGTGATCTCAATCTAGCTTCTATGAGCCACTATGTAGGGATTGCCTTCTCACCCCTGCTCTAGGGTCGCCCCTCCTCTGGGTCTCTTGTTCCTCCTCTGGGGTCGCCCCTCCCCTGGGGTCTCACCTCCTAGGGCTGCCAGGTTGTCTGGCAGCCCCTCCCCCTTCGGGAATCTCCCATCTCCACCCTCAGACTACATCTGCTTCTTCACACTCCAGAAGTTGCCGGCTCCTCTAGGAACTTGAGACCTCATTTCTCAGTGCTCTCAGGTGGGCACTGTCCCCCCTGACCCCACAGGTCTCTGGACCAAGTGCCCAGCTTCCAAGCCCTCGCCGCCTGAACTCACTTCAGTAGGGAAACAGAGAGCCACACCAGGAGGCAGAGGAGAGGGCCAGCCAGGCTGTGCTAGGCCAAAAGTGGTGTCTGTTCATGCAGACAGCAGCTACTCTCAAAGGAAGACCGAGCCACAGCCTGCAACCTCAATACCGGTTCTACCGAAGGGAACATCGTCTCAACCCTTCTCCAACTCAAGGCTCTCCAGAGCATCGGCACATACCTATGTCAAAAGGAGAACAGTGATTTAGGCAAAGAAAGATGCAACTAACAGGAATATGCCTTGGAAGGTATTTTGTCTATGGCTCCTTCTTGTCCTCTCTACTTTCTCGATGATACCGGGAGGCCGGCGACTTGGCTCTAGGACAGCCTTCTGCCTGGCTGTGTTCTGCTTCCTCACAGGCCTACAGCCATGGAGCCTGTTGACCATGAACTGAAACTGTTGAGCCCCAGCCAACTTCCCTCCTTTAGGGTGTTTCTCTCAGTGTTTGTCACAGCAACGCAAGGGCCAGAATGGGAAGCTAGTTTCTTTCAAAGCACTCCAGTTTGATCTCAGCTCCACAATGGATGAATCCAACTGTGACTGTATCCAGAATGACTTGTAAGATGGCACTATGTCTGGGACAGAGAGACATGGGGGACAGGAGGGGAGAAGGAAAGGTAAAAATGTCCCCAACAGGTTGGAGAGGTGGCTCCATAGTGAAGAGCACTTGCTGCTCTTGCAGAGGACCAGGTACGGTTCCAAACACCCACACGGCAGCTGACACCATCTGTAACTCCAGTTCCATAGGATCTGACACCCTCTTCTGGCCTCCATGGCCAACAGGCACATATGTAGTGCATGTGCATGCACACTCATACATTTTAAATAAAAAATCAATAAACTATAATACAAATAGAAATGTCCACCGAATTTTGATAGGCAGTCTGGTGATCCATTCCTTCCCAGTTCCCACATGCTCAGGCTCTTTCCGATTCCTTGGGCTTTGACCCAAGTCTGATCTCCGGGTGTCTGCTGACTATTCAAGCTCTTGCTGGTCTCAGTTTTTCCTCAAAGTGGCTTTGAACCCACCATCAAAATACACACGTTTTGGCCCGTGATGCTAGGTTTTTGCTTTGTTTCCTTTTGTTGAGACAGGGTCTCACAATGCATCCCAGGCTGGCCTCAAAGTCCCACCCCTTCTGTCTTAGCCTCCTGAGCACTGGGATGAGAGGCGCTCACCACCACACTGGGTTGTACTCCCCTCTTATCCGAGAGGAAGATAAGTCTGTGCTTCACTCATCTGAGAGGTCACATGTGTCAGTTAGGGTTTCTATTGTGGAGATGAAAGGGTTTATTTCACTTCTGCATCCCAGTCCATCATCGATAGAGGCCGGGCAGGAACTCAGAAGGCAGGAACTGAGGCAAAGGCCGTGGAGGAACTCTGCTTACTGGCTTGCTCAGCCTGCTTTCTTAGAGGCCAGAGGGCCCCACCCACAGTGGATTTGGCTCTCCCACGACAGTCAGTAATTAAGAAAACGCACCGCAGACTCACAGGCCAGTCCCATGAAGACATTTGCTCAACTGTGGCTCCCTCTCCTCAGGTAACTCCAGCTTGTGTCAAGTTGATACAAACAACAGCAACAAAACAGGACATAAGCCTAGGGGAATGGATGTCCCCACCCTGAATGAGGGCCTGGAGGACTCACCATGGTATCTGCCGCAGACCAACTCTTACGCTGCTTGGAAACTTAGTCCCTCTGTGAACCGTTTCTCTGGGATTCAAGATGGCCTCCTGTGTTAATTCGTCACACTTCACGTTAGTGCAACAAAATACCTGACCTAAAAGATGGAATGAGGGAAGATTTTATTTTAGCTCGTAATTCTAAAGGTGCCAGTCCATCACGGCAGGGGCGGGGGCAGAGAGGAGCAGCTGATATCATGGTGGCCAGGAAGCAGAGACAGCATTCTAGAACCTGTCTGTCTCCCCCCCCGCCCCCCAGAAAGGGTGTCTCTGTGTCACCCTAGCTGGCCTGCAACTCATGATGTGAACCAGGCTGGCCTGGATTTCACAGAGATCCCCCTGCCTCTGCCTCTCTAGTGTTGGACTAAAGGTGTGCACCACCACACAGGTCTGTGCTCGCAATCCTCCTCTCCATTTAGTCCACCCCGACCGACCGCAGCTCACCGGATCGTGCCTAGCACTATTGTGAGCTAATATGAGCATACACAAAGATCCAAAGGAAACCATGCTTAACGAGTTCAGGGAGGGCCAGCGAGATGGCTCAGCAAGCTGAGGAGGCGCTTGCCACCAAGCCCGTTGACCCGCGTTTGATCCCTGAGCCCACAGGGCAGAAAGAGAAACCTGTTCTCTGACCTTCACACACACATGTGTCACATGTGTCACATGTGACAGTAGGGTGCATACAAACACATGCCCACACACAAGAGAAGAAAATGCAATGAAAATGTGTTTGAAAAGAGTTAACAGATGGCAATGTTACGTCAGATAGAGACAATCCATGAGATGAAATTATTTAATCGGAAACACAAGGAAATTCTGGAGCTGAACGTGAACTAGGCCAGGTGTGGTAGCACGCACCTTTAATTCCTGCACTCAGGAGGCAGAGAAGCAAGGGGATCTCTCTGAGTTTGAGACCAACCTGGCCACACAGTGAATTTAGGGCCATACTGAGACCCTTGTAAAGTCTCATTTAAAAAAACAGCCGGGCGGTGGTGGCGCACACCTTTAATCCCAGCACCAGGAGACAGAGCCAGGAGGATCTCTGTGAGTTCGAGGCCAGCCTGGTCTACACAGCAAGATTCAGAACAGGCACAAAACAACATGGAAAAACCCTGTCTCAAGAAAACAAAAGACAAAAAACAACAACAACAAAAAAGCAAAACTGGGCGATGGTGGCACACGCCTTTGGGCACTTGAGAGGCAGAGGCAGGATGGATGGTCTCTGTGAGTTCAAGGCCAGCCTGGTCTACAAAGCAAGTTCCAGGACAGCCAGGGCTACACAGAGAAACCCTGTCTTGAAAAAACAAACAAACAAAATACCTGCTAAAACAATGTAAGGAAGGGTTATTTTAGCTCCAGGTTCCAGGGCACTATGCTCCATCACCGTGGGGAAGTCCTGGTAGCAGGCATCTGGGCAAATGGTCACATCGCTCCAGTCAGGAAACAGAGATGAGCCACAGTTCAGCACGCGCTCTCCTTTTCATTTGGTCTAAACTCCAGCCTATGTAGAGAAGGCGCCTTATTTAGGGTGAGTCTTCCCGCCTCAACCCAAACCAGAAACTCCCCCAGAGACATGCCCAGGGTCTTGTTTCCATGGTGATTCTAAGCCCCATCCAGTTGGCAAGATTAACCACAATTATGTAACCAAAAGCACAGAGAATTTTTAAAAAGGAAACTTTAAGAACCTAATAAGAGAGGACAGAAAAGAACATTTAAAGTATTTTTTAAAAGAATCTTTAAAAAACAATCACTATATTTGAAATTTCCCAAATTCAAGCTGGACACAGAACGGTGAGCACACCTATAATCCTAGCACTCTGGAAGCAGATGCAGGGGATTTCAGACTTCATCCAGGATAGGCAAGGCCACACAGGAAGGCTGTGTGAAAATTTTGGAGATACAGCGACTTGGGGATTAAGAGCGCTGGCTGCTCTTCCAGAGGAACCAGGTTCAATTCCCATCACCAACCATCTGTAACTCTAGTCCCAGGGTTGCACAGACACACATATAAAATAATAAAATAAAGTAAAATAAAGTAAGAAAAAATTAAAGTCATGGTGGAGGGGTGTCTGGTGATAGGGCTCAGCTGGTAAAGGGCTTGCTGTGCATGCATGTGGATGTCACATAGATCCCAGAACCCACATTAAAACCCCAGTGCTCGGGAGGTGGAGACAGTGGCACCTGGGGGCTAGCCTGCCAGCCAGCCAGTCTAGCCTGCTTGGTGAACTTCAGGCTCCTGTCTCAAAGGTGAGGCTGGAGAGATGACTCAATGGTTAAGGGTACTTACTGCTCCTGTAGAGGACCCAGGTTCAGTTCCCAGCACTGTCATTGGGTGACTCAAAATTCACTATGACTCCACTTCCAAAGAATCTCAAGTCCTCTCCTCTCCTCCATGGGCACTGTATGCACATGTGTGCACACATACATACACTGAGGCTCACATACATCAACTAAGCTGGATTAACTTAAACTAAATAAATATTTAAAAATAAGTAAAATAAAAATTTAATTAAAACTGAACTATACCTATACATAAAAGCCAAAAAGAAGGTGAACAGTAACAATCAGGGAATGATACCTAAAATTGTCCTCTGGCTTCCACACACACGTGCACACACACACACACATGCACCTGCACACACATGAACACACACAAAGTTAAGAAATGTCAGAGTAATAGCATAGTAAATACTGTTATGTTTAAATATTAAATACTTCAGTGTTCTGTTACCAAAGAATGTACATCCTTTTCCAACATTCACAAAACATTTTGTTAAAATAAAGACTTCATGTTGGGCGGCAAGAGGAATGCAAATATATTCCAAAAATTTTCAAATTCCTATTATCTACAATAAAACCAGATGTAAAGTAAAAAGGATCAAGAAAACAATCAAGTAATTCACCAACCAAAAGAAAGATTTTTTTGGTGTGGTACCGTTAAAGAAAAAATAATATTTGTAAATCTCAGGGGTAAAGTAAATCTTTTGGATGTATCTTTAAAAGGCAAATTCAGTTATAGTTAGAAAATAATAATTAGAAGAAAATACATTAACTTTTGGAGTCTTGGGCTGGGTGTGATGGCACATGCCTTTAATCAGGACACAGTGGCAGAACAGGCAGCTAGCTCTCCGTAAGTCTGAGGCCAGCTTGGTCTACACAGTGAGTTCCAGGCTAGCCAGGGCAACATGCTGAGAACTGCCTCAAAACAACAGACCCAGGGCCTAGATCCGTTTCTCTGTCGCTCTCTCACGGCCATGGGGTGAGCTAAAAGGCACACGAAGTAGATCCTCCACACTCAAGCTGCAAGACTTGGATGTCGTGGTTTGGGGCAGTCATCCTGACTGCCTGTATCACAAGCACAGCCACCGACTGAGATGGATGAACGAGCATTCACACAGGCTCCCGGCTGCCGAAGGGAAATCCATGGATGCCGGGCCTGTCAGGGAGGATGCTGGGAAGCCAGATCAACAAAGCCAGGTTGTCACACAGTGTCTGCCAACTCTTCACTAGACTTGTCTAAGCCTTCAAGGCGGGGCCCTGGTTTATCTTCTTCTCATTGCTTATGCTATTTCAGTTTCTCACTGTTTTGTTTGCTTTGCTTTTTTGTTTTGTTTTATTTTGTTTTGGAAGCCAGGGTCTCACTGTGTAGCCCTTGGCTACACCCGGCATTTTTGGGGGCCAGGAATGTGAACTCAGGCCCTCGTTGGCTAGTGTCATTTGGGAGGAAGGGTTCTCAGTTGTGACAATACCTCCACTAAGGCTGGCCTGTGGATAAGTCTGCCAAGCATTTTCTTAATTAGTGATTGATGGGGGAGAGCCCAGCCTACTGTGGATGGTACCAATCCCGGGCTGGTGGTCCTGGGTTCTATAAGAAAGCAGGCTGAGCAAGCTGTAGGGAGCAAGCCAGTAAGCAGCACTCCTCAATCCATATGGTTGATAATCTTTATCCTAGAATAAAGAGTTATCTCCCACAGCCTTTTTGTGGTAACTCTTTTTTTCTTTATTTTGGACAGGGACTTACTATGTGACCCTGGGTGGCTTGGAACTTGCTTTGTAGCCCAGGCTGGCCTCAACCTCCCAATCCTCTTGCCTCTGACTTCCATCAACAACTACAGCCATCAGGTCCTGAGTGTGACTTTCCTCTTCTCGTGGCAAAGACATCAAGGGAAGAGCCAGAGGGAAGCCTTTGGAGCTACCGGGCAAACGCATAAGTGCGGTTAGTTGCTGTTACCTCCAATGAATGTCCCTGTCAGAAGGGCTGTGCGCTCAAGGAGTCTTCAGAGGAAGGGCCATGCTGCCTTGCTCCACTTTTTTCTGGCCCACATGACCTGGAACATGGAAAGGCAGCCCAGGTACTTATTCTCAAACCTCAGGTCTAAACACTGATTTTTTCCCGAGTCACCAATGTAAATTGTGTTAGTCTGCTTTCTGTTACTATACTGAAATAACACAGGCCAGGTGATTTATAAAGAAGAGGAGTTTATATTACAGCTCATTGGTTCTGGGAAGTCCAAGCATGCAGACAGAGATGACATCGTTTCAGCAGCTGGTGAGGGCTTCAGGCTGTGCCGTCGTTTGGTAGAAGAATAAAGGAGTTGAGGTGGGCAAGGGGATATGTGTGTGAGCCGACTTGCTTTCTGTTCTGATAATAACCCATGCATTCGAGAACCCACTCACCCTGGTGAGAGTAGCGTTAATCACTTAAGTGTAGATTCCCCAAGACTCAAATACCTCTTCCAGTTCCTATTGTGGGGGGAACCGGAGGGGGAAATGGGGGCCAAATTCCAATGCAAAGTTTACTGGGGTTCTTCTTATTACTACATTTAGTATGCGTGCTTCTGTGTGTGTGTGTGTGTGTGTGTGTGTGTGTGTGTGTGTGTGTGTGTGTGTGAAGACAATCTGTGGGAGTCAGTTTTCTCTTCTACTATATGTGACCCTGGGATTGAACTCGAGTCTTCAGGCTGGGCGGCAAGTGCCTCTCTACCAAATAACTGAGCCATCTCACTGGCTCTAACTGTGAGTTTTAAAGGGGAAAAACTATAGGAATAATCAGCGGAAATCATGTATTTAATGGGTTAGTTTGGGTTTGATTTTGTTGTTATTGCCTTGTTTTTAATTTTTTTAGACAAGGTCAGTTCAGTAGTCCATGCTGAAACATGAAATTCCTCTTCCTCAGCCTCCAGAGTTACAGGCAAGCACCATCACACCCAATCCTTTGGCTTGTTTTGGCCAGCTTTTCTGTTCAAACGCCTGTTTCAGCTGCTCGGTTCTTTCTTCCCAGAATCAGACAGACTTCCAGTCCTGTGGGAAAGCGGCCTGGAAGGTGCATCATGGGTGACGGTACCCGTGCCTCCCAGGGCCGGCCTCTCCTGCCTTTTAGGAACCATGTGAGTCACACATGATGAGCACCTCTGAGCTGGCTGCCGGTATCGGTGTCCCAGGGCTGGATTGACAGGCGTTTGTTTCCTTGGAGCTGTACATTCCAAACTCTAGTGCCAAAGAAAAGATGTGTTTGATGGAACCCGTGGCATGCCCAGGCCCGCTCAAAAGCTTATTTTTGTTTTGTGCTCCAGACCTGCAGCACTCCTCAGCGTGGCTCTGATAAGGTGTGTGGCATTTTCTTTCTTCCTTTCTTTTCCTTCTTCTTTAAAAATGTTTGTTTGTTTGTTTGTTTTATTTTGTTTTGTTCAAGACAGGGTCTGACCATGTAGCCCTGGCTGGCCTGCAGCTCTCTATGTAGACCAGGCTAGCCTCAAGCACACAGAAATCTACTGCCTCTGCCTCTCAAGTGCTGAGATTAAAGTTGTGTGCCACCATGCCTGACCTTGCATAGGACATTTTAAAAACTGGCCACACCGTGTTCTGGGTGGCCAATAGGAGGCTGTGAGTATTGCTGGAGGTGTGACTGCTACAGTCTGCCTTTCACCTTGCAGGATCTAAGAATCTTCTGAGAAAGAACTGCAGATCAAGTATTCTTTCTCTTATTCCATTTTTCAAGTTTACTCACGTATAGGAGGAAGATTGTGTGTGTGTGCAAACACATATACAGAGAGAGTACATATAGAGAACATATAGTCTATATATTCTCTATATAGAGAAAATATTTTTTATATTTATGGGTGTTTTGCATGTATGTATGTAAACATACACACACACACACACATGCACACACACAGGGGCGGTGAGGGGCAGGTACCATGCATCCCAGGCTGGCCTTGACCTCCTGATCCTCTTACTTCAGCCTATCATGTGCTGGGATTACCACACCTGACTCAGAAAGTAGATTCTGTTAATTTTATATTTAAATTAAACATTGTGTTTGCTATTCTGTTATATGTATTCTATTCCAACTGACCTTGAACTCTTTAAAATATTTTTTAAATTAAGTGTGTGTGTGTGTGTGTGTACACATGAGGATGTGACTGTGGGTGCCCCTGGAGACCAGAAGAGGGTATCATATCCCCTGGAGCTGGAG